TTGTATATTAGCCCATATTTCAATACCATACCTTGTCTAGACCTCACTCATTGATATGAATTCAACTGCAGTAAGTAAGAAAAAGGTCTCGTACCTATTCAATATACTTATTTTAATTCATTAATATTTTAATAAATCTAACCAATAATTTAATAATTTCTTAACATCAGCATTAAGTATGTTGTTTTTTTACCATGTCTACACTCTAAAGCACCTAAATTTAGTAATAAGTTTAAACACAATGATAAAAATGAAAATTAATCACAATTTTTAAAATATATTTAAAGTTGTTAGGCATGTCAGTAAAAGAAATGGATACCATTCAGGCTTCATCTTGTGAAAATAACGAAAATAATCTAAAGCAAATTCTGATATCAAATGACTGTGAACCAACTAATTTTAGGAGTGACTCACACTCTGTAAGAATACTAGAAGACTTACAATCCCAACGCAAGTATGTTAACGGTGAGTTTACTATCATTCAAAATAAATATGAGTAACACATTTTTGTTTTTAGAAAAGAAGTTTTATGTGATGTTAGATTTGAAACAGATGATGGTAAAATTGTAATTGGACATAAAAATGTTTTAATAGCAGCTAGTCCATATTTCCGAGCAATGTTTAGTAATTTTTATGAAAGCAATAAACATCTTATCAATATAAGAGAATTAGATTCCACCATTTTACTACTATTAGTAGATTATATCTATACTGGAGAAATTATGGTCACAAAAGAAAATGTACAGGTATAATAAAATATTTTATTTGATATCGACTTCAAACAACATATTATTTTATGATAATTGTTGTTGATTTCTTAGGTGTTGTTACCCGCCGCAAACTTCTTACAGTTAGATTACGTAATTGGTGTATGTGCTGAGTTTTTACAAAAACAACTGAATCCATCAAATTGTCTTATAATCAGAGCGTTTGCTGACTTACATAACTGTACTGATTTGTTGTCAATTTCCGAAGCATATATTAAACAAAATTTTTTGTATGATTAACATTTTTTAATTTTCTATATCAAGAGTAAGTAGGTAATTTATTATAAAAATAATGATTATTATTTCCAGAGAAGTAGCTAAAGGCGAAGATTTTCTATCCTTATCTACTGAAGATTTGGTGAAGCTTATTTCCTCTAATGACCTTGCTGTTCCATTTGAAGAAAAAGTAAGCAAACTAAAAATTGTATTTTTAATATTTTGTATGGAAAATCAACTTATGAAGGTTTACAAGTTGTACATTACAGTTGATGTCTAGACTCCACAGGAATCACTGTATCAGATGTGTTATATTTGAATTCAATGATATAAAATCATTGTAAACAAAAAACGATTCTGAGCAAATATGGTTTAATAATATTACTAGAAGTATATTTTATGATATTGTTAATAAACTAATATATTTTACTATTAGACATTATTAATACTGTATTTCTGGAGCAGTTTTAATTATTTTTCCAAAAAAGTTGCATATGAAAAGATCATTGTGTGCATACAATATAGCAATATACTTTAAAATTTTATGTTCCTACAAATAATATTTTTAAATTAAATAACTGAAATCAATAAAGCTTGATTACCATAGAAAATAATTTTATTGACTGTTATTGAAAATAAACAAAAAAATGTCTTATTTTAAATGTCTATAAATATTAAATAACTCTAAAATAGTAAAAACGTTTTTTTTTTAAATTAGTTCAAATCAATTGTATTTCCTCGATGATAAAGAAGTTTTGCGGTCGGCTCCGACTGTAATTAATTTTCTATAACTTTCACCACCACGTACCACATTGATTAGTCAGTAGGCCCAAACAATTTCGCAAACGCAGCAAATAAACCTTCTACTGCATGTCTATATTGTGATTTATGTGTATTTAAAAATAACAAAAAATATATATTATTTAATACCATAAAAATATAAGAATTATTAATTAATATTCCTTTGCTTAATATAAACAGTAGGAACACATGATCTTAAAGATCTATTATATTTTTGGGATCCTGTGATAATTATACACTGTTGAATGGTTGAACAAACTATTATTATATCTTAATCTAGTTTTAAATATTTTTTATTATAGGTATTTGAATGTGTTATCAAATGGGTAAAACATGATTCAGATCATAGAATAGATTTTTTGCCAAAACTAATGGAACATGTACGTTTGCCATTATTAGCATCAAGGCCTGATGTATTAAATAATGTAGTCGAAGAACCTCTTCTGAAGAATAGTCCTAAATGTATATTTTAATAAATACGTCTTCATTATATGTAATTATATCTTTTGTTGATTATTATTTAATGTGTATAGATAAAGATTATGTGTTTGAAGCTATACGATTTAATCTACTTAAGTCAGTTCAACATTTCACCATTCCACAAACAATTCGGTGTAAACCTAGGCAGTTTGGTGATTCAAAAAAGGTATGATTCCGTTTTGATAAATTTATCTTCATAATACTTTTGTCCATTTAATTCTATTAGGTTCTTCTAATGTTCAATGAGTCTAATACATCGCCAGAGTGTTATACTGAATGGTATGACCCAGCAACCAAGCTAAGAGAGAATGCACCAGGAATAAATGAATGTCGGAGGAATGCTGGTTTTGGTGTGATAAATGATCAATTTGTGTTTGCTGTGGGAGGTGTAAATGAATCGAGGTCTACATCTGTTAGTATGCTTGACGTATCTTCACAATCACCGTCATGGGTTCCAATGGCTGACATGTTATTTAGTAGAATGTATTCGGGAGTTGGTGTATTGGATGATTGTATATATGCAGTAAGTTAAATCAATATTTTACTTATTTTATATTAAAAATGTATATTATTTGTAATTCTAGGTTGGCGGATGTGAAAGCAATAGTATTTTCAAAAGTGTAGAGGTTTTTGATGTCATTACCCAAAAATGGAGAATAGTGTCTAGTATGACAATTGAGAGAAGTGGATTGGGCGTTGGTGTACTCAATAATCGTCTATACGCTGTGAATAAATATATTATATTATTATTTATTTATTTATTTTACATTTTATTTAATTAAATTGTGTAGGTTGGAGGTTGTAATGGTTACCATAACCATTTGAAATCTGTTGAATATTATGATCCCACACTTGACATATGGACTCCGGTTGCAGAAATGTCTGAGTGTCGTCAAGGTGTTGGTGTAGGGGTTTTGGATGGTCTTATGTACGCAATAGGTGGCTTTAATGGAAAGTTGCTTAAAAGTGTTGAGGTTTATAGACCGAGTGATGGAGTTTGGTCTTCTATAGCTGATATGAATTTATGCCGATTTTGCCCTGGTGAGTAGTGACTATGACAATTAAATTTTTTAGGACGACCTTTGTAAAAATATATTGAATTTAAAATACATCATCTTATAGGAGTAGCCGTATTAGATGGTTTATTGTATGTTTTTGGCGGAGAAATTATATGTATTTTTGATACTTTTGAAATTTACAACCCCAGCACCAATACTTGGACCTTGGAAAGATTGTCAAGGAATGGAGTACGAGTTTATGGTGGAGTAGTTGTCGATAGACCACATCATTATCATTAATCAGCTTACAGTAGTACCCGTTGTTAATAGTAATATGAACAAATTTTTGTGTAAATTTTGATGACGCGTGTATAGTTTTAAATATTTATGTTATTTTGAATACCTATTTGATAAGAATGTTTTTCTTATAATTTATACTAACTATTTTCAAATAAAAAAATAAGCTATACTTAAATTATATCTATAATCTACTATTTAAATTATATTTTTTAATTTCTTTGTGAAACTTTGTAGTGTGTACACATTAAAAATGTACTTGAAATTTGTAGCAAATGATTATTTCATCATTTTATATACATGATATGAGGTATTTTTCGTAAATTGTATAAGGATAAATAAATTAGTATGAAACCCTTATTTGTTAAAATTTTGCAGGTACCATATTATATTATACATTTTTACATTTTGTGATGACGAAATGGAATGGGCTGGACAAAATACAGATTTCACGGGCTGAACAGTCGCCCCAGTCCACCTCTGCTTCTGACTTCTGTGTGGTAAATTTATAAAATTCGCAAATATATTTGCGTTGGAAAAAACAAAAAAAAAAACTTAAGAAGACTACCCTGCATGCATTGTCTCTGTCTTACAAACGCATAATGTAGCAAATTATATGTTCTGAATAATCTATAATTAAATATATTTAACCTAAGTACCCATGTTTAATATAAGAGCGACTTGACCTATTATCATTGGCATTTGGCGCAAATGACAATTGTGCTAAGGGTGCTTGGCACACTGAATTTTAATGCTAGGTAGCACCTCGAATCTTGTGATTATCTTAAATAATAATTAAAAATCATGATCACGCGCCACAATCATGATTCAAGATAGACTATTGGACACATTAATTTATCAACATGGAAAGAGTCAAAGAGATGACCTATGGGTAGTTAGTAAAATACTTATGATAGTCCTTAATAAATGTCCACTGTAGTCTGTAATTACTTGTTTCTATTATAACTACCTACAGTTACAGTGAAACTTCCATATGACAAACTATTTCAATTTTCAATTTACAAAATTGTTGAATAAATTTTTTTTAGAACCATACGACATAAAATCTCTTATATTATAAAACGAGGTTAGTCCCCAGTTTTGTCCACGGGGATAGACGACTTTGTGTCGTTTTTCCGGCCCGGCCAATCGCAACGTTCAGATTCTGCGGCGGGCAATAACCGCGTTATCACTTCTTTTCTTATCATTTTCGAAATTTTCGAAATTTACACTTTTTACACGATTTCGACCGTTTTCTAGCCTTTTTCGCTCATATTCATATTTGATTCGCGTAGCTCGCGATCTCTCGAAGCCGCCGGTGTGCGGTTTATATCCGTTCGCCGTCCGTAGCCGTCGCAATGTCGATCGCAAAATACGCTCCCGGCCGAACTTTTTTGCCGATTTCTTTCGTTTTCTCCGACAGTTTCGTCTTTTCGCACGTCGTTCGTGCCCGAATCGTGTAGTTGACGTCTTTCTAAAGCCGTATATATACGCTTTTCTTACGAAATCGGTCGGTTCGCTTCGCAATCGCGTTTAGAAATTACGACCGACCGTACGCGTATATATACATGTATGTACGTGTATAATTTAATTTTTGCCTATTGATTTAATTATTATTAACGGAAATGCTTTTCACTCGCTCCGTTAAATATATATATGGGAGATGCGCGTATTACAAGCGAATTATATGCGAGTACATCGATGAACATCGAATATATCGGCTTACGTCGCTCCGTAGACGCACGGCTTAAGTGTTGATGTTTTGACCGTATTTCACATCTCAAATTGTGTCCGAGTAGGTTAGGCGTTAGGTAGAAATCACGTAGGGCCCGGGTTCGAATCCGTCGTACGCTCTCGGGGCGTCGTTGTGGTCATTTCCATATGGTTTACACGGCCGCCCGAATCCCGAATATTTTTTGCATTTTTTTCCCGTAAATTTACAAATTTCCGATCTTTTCTCTTTACTATTATTATTATTTTAACTTTACTTTGTGTATGTACGTTCAATTTTTGTTAATTAATCTACCATATTTCATTTTTTATGTATTAATATTATATGTATTTATGTAGGTAAGCATGTTTTTTTCGATTTTCTTACGTTATTTTACAAGTTATAGTTACTGGTTTTTTTAAATTTTTATAATATTACTTGACTGTATCTATGAATATTTTTACTACTAAATTTTTATACCATTATATTATGTCATGTCCCTTCATCGTTGTATTTTAACTATTGTATTTTTACCTGATTAATTGTTTATTTTAAAAAAAAGTATAATGTCATGTACATAATTGTAATTTAACTATTGCATTTCTTACTAATTGCATGCCTGTATATAAAAAAATATATTATAATATGTATATATGTAATTTAACTATTAAATTTTTTATATAGAAAAAATATACCTAATGTTAAGTACATAATGTAACTTAACTATTGCATTTTTAACTAATTATTCTAAACACGGTTTTATGTATTCATTACGGTTTTACAATCACTGTCAATTCATTTGTTTGTTTGTACAAAATATATCTTATCATTGTAGGTACTACTATTTCAACTATGTAACCAGGGCCGGATCTAGGGGGGGGGGACTGGGGAAGTCGGGGATTTATCCCCGGGCGTATAATTTTCGTGGGCGTATTTTTAAGGTTTTAAATATTTTGTAAATTGAAAATTGAAAATGGACTTTAAAACAAAAGTCAAAACTAAGTTCAAAATAATATTTCACAAGAAATGTGTAATATTGGGTATGTGAATAAAATAAAATAATTTTATTTTTAATTGAGATTAGTAATAACTAATAATATTGATTTAAATATTAAAAAGGACAAATATGAAAAAGGTAAAAAATAGATAAAAATATAAAATAAATAAAACCCGTCCGCAATTTACTGTCAGCCGGAGTGTACATGCATTAGTCTATCATAAATAAATTAATGTACTCTCCGATTAGTGACATAATAAAGTATGGTAAATTACATCATTTTCTTGCATATAATATAATATTATGTAGATAGTTGTTTAAAACCTTAATCTTAAAAATCACACTATTAATTGTAATTCATTGTTATGTGATTTTAAATTAACAACTATACATTTTTCCAAATAGGTAGGTACTGCATAAAATTATGTACTACATAAAATGTTACTTAGGTACTAATGATTTAATTGTTTTCAGATTATTTATTAAATTACATGTTCGTACCTAGGCTTATAAAAGTCTTTGTATTTAACAATTAATGCCTTTTTATAAACTGAACTTTTTTATAAATATCACCATGGCCACTAGATAAATGAAACAGAACACAAAATGGAATATAATTTGTCATTTGTGTTTGTGTTTGCTTTTTAGTTTTTAAATAGGTACAAGTATACAACTATTAATTTACTTGATAAACTTGATACTACAAAAGTACAACATAATTAAATGATTAAAACAAAAATACTATCCTATTGATTGTAGCCCAAGACAGATTGAATATTATGTTTTACATATTATATTAAAATAATTTAAAAGGAAATTTATAGGTATTCTATTTGGTTCGTTTTTTTTTTATTATAAACTGTGTTTTTTGTCTGATTTATTTTTATAGTTCAAGATGTCAAACAGACAACCAGATCCTTATTATTCTGGAAATTTTTAAAATGTAGAATGTAGAATGTAGTTATTTTAGTATATAGGTACATTCAATCCATAGGTGATAATCCATGATAAATATTTCTTTGTCGTGTTATAATCATTATATTACAATTTTCAGTACATAATTACATTTTTGTTTCATTGTATTTATTCCGTACCTAGGTACATATTATTAGTTTTGATTGTAACAATTATTAAAAATGAAAATGTATAATATTGATAGGTATGTTGTAAATTAAATATTGTTCTTTTACATAAAGCGTCCTATATTAAAAGTAAGCAATAGATACCTAATTTAGATTTGTTAATAAATAATTCATACATGTTATTATTATCAATATTATTTATTCTAAACCTGGAACTTAGAAATATTGACCACAGATTTTAGCTTTAAATACACCATTAAGAAGTGCTTCTAAAACTATATTACGTGAATAGTTTAAATTTTAAAATGTTTCATTTTTAAGTTTAAATCGTTCAAATTATTTGTGGTAAATAAATGATCATAGGCGCACATTGGGTGTGAATTTAGGGGGTGCTGGAATAATTTATGATTCACAGATCCGTGGGGGGCTTTGCCCCCCACACAACCCTAAATCCTAATATTTCTGCATTGAATTAGATTTAATTTGTATAGTGTATTCAATAATATCTAAAGTGCAATGTATCAAATAGTCTGTATGATTGTACAGAAGACGCTAGGTATACACCAACATGTGTTGTCTCCGTATTACAAACGTAGGTACAACATAGGCAAAACTGTTTTGCATGGGTATAAAAAACTTTAAGGCTGTACTCTAAGCTAAGAAAGTAAGAAACTAAATGTTCACACTATAAATATGAGAAAATTTACTGTGTAACTTTGTTTTTATATTTCATAAAATTTGAAAACAATATATTAGGAGCCTTCTATTACATTTTTAAGCTTTTATACCCAACAAATAAAATTTTATTGATACTTATAGAAAAAAAACTAAACAAAATGGAAACTAAAAATGTCCATAAAAACCTCAAAATAACTCAAAATATTTAGAAAATTTTATCATGCATAGACAATGGAAATATAAATAACCAGTAAGATAATATAATTTTCTTTAATGATATGATATAATATGATTGCTACATACTGTTTAATGTTTTGACAAAAACTGAAACACTGAACCATGCATTCACACAATACTGTTTTAATCGTGAATTCGTAAACAGTTGTCAATATTTGTAATAAAAAGAAAAATTGCGAACCAATAGGCAATAAACCACGATAGTTTATAAATGATTGGTGAAATACCGAAATAAACTGAGGGTGCTGGTTTGAAGCTTGGGGGTGCTAAGCACCCCCAAGCACCCCCCTATGTGCGCCTATGTAAATGATTGGTCCTGCAGTGCATTTGGAAAGGTTTTGTAAATGTTGGTCCTCAGTTCCTCGCAATACTGTGTGAGTGTGCTCAGGGGCGTACTCAAGGGGGGGGTTCGTGGGGTTTGAACCCCTCCCATGTCCTTACTAACCGATGCACTTTTGTGCGTTCTTGTTTATACATAATATAATTCACAGGAGCAATTTTCTAAAAAAAAATTTTTAAGAATGGAAAAAATAAACAAATATATTTATTTTCAATTTTATATCAACATGCATTATACAACGATTACAAGCATTATCTGTTAAGAACTGTATTATGATAACCAGATAAAATTTAAATTAAACATACAAGGTGTATTGATAAGTTGTCGTCACTCTGGACCCCTATACGTATACACTCTTGATTGAAAATATTACCACAGTTCTATAGTCACCTTCTTGTCCTACGAAGGCCTGTATATTCATTCTGTTAAATGCAAAATGTCTTAAAACTTCAGAATTAAAATGCTAATATTTTTTAAAATTGAAGTCGGTATTTACAAAAACATTGAATCATAAAAAGTTTTTTTTTTTAATTGAGTTGGTAATAAATTTGGAGCCTGTAATTATACATTACATTTGCATTTTATTCATTGGCAATATTTTTATCGAGTAGACATCAATTAGAAAAAAATATTATGTATAATTTAGTCACTTCTTTGGATATTTGCATCCTTCTTAAAATCTTTAAATTAAATTAAAACTATTATGATTCTACTCCTAATTCTAATAGTAGTCTGGTAGAGTGGAGTATTATTTTCTAGTGCTCATAAAAAACTAAAAACATGTTTAAAATATTTTGCATATTTTATTTTATGATTAGGTATATTATTTATATTATAATATTATTCAATAATAGTTATCTTATAAACTTCAAACTAATTTTGAAAAATTGTTTAGTTTTTTTGGTGTTTTCTTGTTTTTAGCACCTTGCTCATTTTTTTCTTTTGTAAGTGAATATCATTCTTGTTTTGACATAATGCGTTATGATATATTTGGTTAATATTTGACTGTGTATTGAGCAACCAACCTTTGTCAAAAAATTTGTTTAT